AAACCGAACCTAAGTGGGGGAGGATGTAACGGGGTACGTAGCCCTAAGTGTACCCTGGTTACATGAAGTGTGACAGTTCACACTTCAGAAGTATGACACGTCATACTCCGGGATATTTGGTACAAGGTACCAAGATTGTGTTGTTGCGGGATCAGCAAAATCTGCGAGATTGCCAGATCCAACTTACCAACTGCGCCCAGACACCGACTAACGGAGGGGGTCCCCCGATGATCCGTGTTCTGCTGAACTTTCCTCACCTTGTGTACCCGTCGGTAGGGCGGGATCTGCTCTCTCGGTAACTTCCGAAGAGTTCAAGTGGTGAAGCTTGAGTGTCTTGGCGAGACGTGGGGATGGGGTGGAGCAGCAGTGGAAAATCTTCACTCTGCGTCCGTGGATGGTTCCGTATCCTAAGCGAATATTCGAGCTTATGGATCCGGGGCCTAGATCGTGGATCTGGCCGTAGGGTTGCCTTGCGGGTGTGTTCCCTTGCCTTTGTAGTTCCTTTGCGTCGTACTTGCCGCCTCCTGTGACGGGATCTTGAAAGTTGAGAGCCCCTAGGGTGTAACCGACCAAGTAGTAAATTCGGTTAACCTGTCGGATCTGCACAAGTAAAGGAAAAGCTCACTAGCTTGTAGGATCTGGCCAATGTATTATCCAGTTATCACTACCAACACTAGATTCGCAATTCCCAACCTTCTCGGAGCTCGTACGGCCAATGTAGTTCCGGTTCTTGAGGGCAGGAAGGCACTTGCGTGTCACTGTGCAAATTGGAGTCTGTATTGATATTTAAGCCTATACCTGCCTGGGTTTCTACGTTCTATGTCTTTCATCTGCTAAATCCCTTACCAGGCTCGGCTGCATGTCCCTTCTTCCCTTGACCCATCATCCCAGCTGTGTTATCTTCAGATCCACCGGATATATGACGTAATCATCATGGTCACCCTATTATGGGTACACTCATCCGGATCCAGGTCGCTTGGATCCACCTCACTGTAATGGTACACTCGCCGTGGATCCGAGCTCTCCAATCATCCAAAATCATCTCGCAACCGTCTGTGATCTCCGTTGTCCCACGAAAGTTCGAGATCCACTGTATCCCTCATCCCTATACCCTGGATCCAGGTCCCTCCAGGCGGGATCCTCCCTCCTTGGATCCGAACTCGGAAGTATGGGATCCGGGGTACCTCGCGGTGGATCTTGACTCTTCATTAGCCGTGGCTACTAGATCCACCTTCAGAGGGCACCGACCATCCTTCCTTCATAGGATCCACACTCGATCCACTCTTGTATAGTATATCCCATATCCATCTTAGTGAATCCAGGTAAGGGTGGATCCGAGGTAAGTCTTGGTGGATCTTGCCTTCTCGTACATCGCTCATATCAGATCCATCGTCATTCCATACGGGGTGCTGCTCGCCATGGCTAATCCACCACAGGCAACTTGCACCCGTGCCAAATAACCCAAATCCTCTAAAATCACTCTGAAAATTTTTTAGATTTTTTCCGGATTTCGGAAAATGGGACCCCGCCCTCGGGATTCTTCTCTTTATTTTTGAAAAAAAACTTTCCACCCCCAACGCTCTCTCGTTTAGGTGGGTGGGGGGTTGGAAAAAAAAGGTTCCCAAAAGTGCATTAACAAAAAATCCAAAACGCTTTTCTCTCCTTCGCGACACATGTCTCCCGCCAAGCGTACCGGCAAATCGTCGGGCAAGGTCCCATCCACCACACCTCCGGCCAGTCCGTCTTCCATGTCGCCCACCGATCTGCGGGTTCTAGCCCAGGCTCTTTCCGATCAGGTGCAAACCCTGACGGCGGAGCTCCAGACGGCTCAAGATGCCCAAGACCAAGCTGCGTCTCTACACACTACCCAACTTCAGACCTTGCGGGCCCAGATCCATGACCAAGCGATGGAGATCCAGGGGTGGGAGCACCGTGCGGCCTCTCGGTCGCAGGACCTGCGACTCCTGTTGGCTGATCAGGCGGTCGAGATCCGCGACCTGACTGGACGGCTGGATCGCGCCTCCCGTCAACGAGACGTTATGCGAGATGACAACGACCATCTCCTCAGGGAGATGGCACTCGCCGGATCTGAGATCCACCAACTCCAATCCCGGATCCACGACCTCGAGCGGGATCTGGAGGATTCCCAGACTGCTAGGGCAGCTGCGGATGTGAGCTTGGACCGCCTCCGTGACGAGTTGCGCTTGACCCAGGAGGAGGTGGTGACCAACGACTATGTGGGATCCGCCCATGACGGATCCGCCTTAGGGTCGGCGCGCGGAGGGTCCCCCGCGCCAAATCCACCTCCCTCGTCGCCGGATGTAGCCCTGGCTCAACTCTCTGAGGAGTTGCAAGACATCAAGGAGTCGCTCGAGAGGGCGTCTGCCGGACGAGATTACGCGCTTGAAGAATTCGTGCGTATGACTCGATTGCGGGACGAGATCCAAACGAAACTGGCAGACAGCGAGCTCCAGCGGGACAAGGCGACTACCGAGTGGGCGGATGCCGAGCGTGCGCTAACGGAGCTGGAATCCAAGCTTCGCCGCATGAGTACGTGGATCCTCTTTTAGCCCTTGCTAGTAACTCCATATTCACTTGTTATTGTCAATCTATGTGACAAATTGAAGAAAGCAGATGCGACCACCGCGAAACTCCAGGATCAACTTTCCGCAGCCCAAACTCAGCAGCAACAGCTGATCCTGGAGCGCGATCGCGGCTTGTCGGAGCGCGATTTGGCACGTCGACGACTGGCGCTGGTGACAGCTGCCGTCTCGGATCCACTTCCTCCCTTGTCGGGGCCCTCTCAGGCTGCTAGCGTTTCTGCTCCTCTTCCGACGGTAAGTGGGGCGGATTCGTCGACTGCGAAACGCCCGCGTAGTACATCTCCCGCTCCTAGCACCGGATCCTCCCGTCCCCATAAGCAGGCCCGAGCTTCCCCGAAAGCCAAGCCCAAAACGACTCCGGTTTCTAAATCTGCTCCGCAAGCGGGATCCACTTCTGTGTCCAAGGCAGGATCTACACCCGCGCCCAAGACTTCCGTTTCTCCCTCGAAGTCAGGTGTCGGATCCAAGTCTGGATCCACCGCTAGATCCAAGTCTACCTCGGCGTCCAAGACTGGATCTACCACTACGTCCAAGTCTGGATCCGGACCCAAGACTGGGTCTACGACGTCCAAGACTGGGTCTATGGCCGTATCCCAACCGGGATCGACGTCCAAGACGGGATCCACCGCTGGTCCTTCGGTGACGACGCCCATCGTTCCTCAGTCCGCTTCCACCAACCCTCCGCCGGCCCGTACTGGACCCGGGAAGGGGAAAGCTAAACGCGTCATTCCCCCTGGGTGTGGACTGGGTAGTTCGGAGGACGATGAGGATGAGGAATCTGACTGGTCCGACGGCTCAGGGCCTCCTAACCGATCGTCGTCAAAGCGTACGCCGTCTGCCGGCCCGTATCCCTTCACTCTAAGCGATGAGGACGATGACGACGACGACGATGACGACGAGAGTCCAGAGGATTCAGAGGAGGCTCGAACCGCTGAGGAGGCCTTGGAGGAAGACACGCGGCGGGCTCTATCCCAATCCCGATCCGAAGCCCGGCGGAGATCCCTCTCGACGCCGCCTCCACAAGTCGCTGGCACAGCCGGATCCGGAGGCGACACTGCGGGATCTGCGATCCACGTCGACAGTGACGGTGGATCGGGCAGTGATGGTGGGAGGGGGTCGCCTCGTGGTGGCGGACTCCTTGGATCTGGCGGAGGCGGGGCGCCTGGTGGCGGATCTCCCGGATCTGGTGGAGGGGGGTCGCCTCATGGTGGTGGATCTCCAGGATCGCCCCATGGTGGCGGATCCCCTGGATCTGTCTTGATCCCCGCCCCCCCTAACTCGTCACTGCCAGGGATGCTCCCCGAGGCTCCGTTCGGTCCGGATGCTGCTTTCATTCCTGGTAGACGTGCTCCTGTGGCCTCGCTGCC